TCCGGCCACCAGCTCACACCTTTTATCCTCTCCCTTGACTAGAGTCCATGGTCGTAGCCCAGTGCTGCTGGAAGAATAGTTATCTATCTGGCCACCACCCACCCATGACCCCTATTCCCCTTCCTCTCACCATCCCCTCTGGTTCCATTCCTCACCCGCCATCTCCCTCCCTCATTTTTTGATCCCAATGCTCGACGTTCCACCCCCTCCTCCTCCTGCTCATCTCACCTCATCTCATCTCATGTCATCTCAGCTCAGATCATCTCATCTCAAATCAATTCTGGTTGGCCTCGTCCGTGCTCGTCTTCTCTCTCTCTCTCTCTCTCTCTCTCTCTTCTCATCAGCTCAGCTCAGCAGTGGATCGGTCCATGGCGGATCTTGCTACGAGGTACACGGTGCCAAAGCTGGACTGGAGGAGGGGAGGGGAGGGGAGGGGACTGTGGGGGGCAACGAGATTCATCTGCCACTAGCCCCGCTGCTTGCCTTGCCTTGCCACCCTCTCCTTCGATGCCGCCAAGTATGGCCTGGGTCAGGTCAGCAGACTCGGGACCCAAATCCGGGATCTGGAGGAATCAGTCTTCCAGAACCGGGGCCCTAAATCTGGAGGTTCTGCACTCACGCCAGAATCACGGTCGCACTGATTCCTCGTCGGCCTGCTCTGCGGCTGGTTCTCCAGATCCCAGACCACCACTGGATCGCCTAAATCCAGGCGCACCGGCGAATATAGCCAAATCGATAGTCTTACAGCATCGAGTAGATTCATTACTGTACTGCATTACGAGTACTGCATTCAAGATACACTGATTACAAGATCGGTGGAATGTTCATCGAGCATCCAAAGAATCATCGTTTAAAGTGATTACTCTTTTCTTTTTATGAATTAACGTTGTATGCAGAAGTATATAAACCATGTTATGCAACAAGCTAATGGAATTGATACACTATTGGTTAGTAACGCAATATTCACAAACATTCTTCCATAACTTCAGATATATTCCAAGTAAAGAAAAAAAATTTGGTCATTAAACTAAATATTGAAATGAATTTCTGCTCTATGTGAAGAATTAGAGACCGGCATCAATAAAAGGCTATACGATGAATTGAAAAGATGAATTTTTTAGTTTCAAATATGGTAATTTCTCATGCATTTTCTTACAAATATATTCAAGTAAGTTTCTACAGTTTTATATAACTCCAAGTACAGAAGAACAAAGACATGAACTCTCCACATGCCTATCTAATTGAAACCCTTAGTTCATATCATTCCCTTATTTGTAAATCCGAGAAGATTGAAATTATTATGTTTGTAACAGTAACATCTTCCTATTGAACCAAGTTTGGATTTGCCATAACCTATTTAACAAGTATAAGATAGTTCAGTCTATGTGAATTCCCACCCTCACACGTCATAACACACATCACACTTTAGCAGCTCATTTGTAAACTCGGCATGTGTAACCCTTCTTAATTTTCCAAAGAGTCATGTGAACACCTGTTGTATTTAAAATTGTATCATGCAAAAAAATGTCGAAGTTTTAGTGATGATACCACAGATTCCCATGATACTCTTACCCAAGGTGCCAACAGTTTTGAACCAGTCAAAAATGCTATGAATGAAAAAATTGGCATAATAAACCTATCACTCCAAACAAAATTGTCAAAGGTGCAAGTCCATGTGTTAATTTTCTTGTCAAGCACTCTGCCATCATTGGTTTGTCGATGTGTCCGAAGATGACCCCTGAGACTCTTCTCAGAAAAGAAAGCAACATGCAAGGATGAAGTAGGTGGTTTCACATATAGCAATGGCATGAGATGGGCTGGACTGGATCGCTGGGCAAAGATGGAATGAAATGAAAGTGAGGAGAGAGGAGGGGTGAGGTGAGGGATGGAAACCTTTTCACGTGAGAATGTGACTGTTCGTCGGGCTCTGATCGAACAGATTAGAGGTCACGGTCAAAGTAGTTACGCGGTAGGTCGCAATCCTGGACGACAGTGTGAACGAGGGGTAGCAACTCATATTCCAATGATCTTGCTACCAAGGATTCCCCCGAATCGATCACTTTCGCCCCCTTCTCCCTCTCCCACTCCCTCGACCTCCACCTCCACCTCCACCTCGACCGTGGTTTGTTTGTTTCCTCGTTTGTTTGATTCAGACTATTGAGCTGAGCTCAGGCGACCAGAGCAGAGCAGAGCGAGCCGATCCAATCCATGTACGATAATGGAGTTTGAACATTGAACCATTCCTGGACCTTGATGCTGTCATATGGAATTGAAGATGGGGGGCGGGCGTTGGAGAATACTGGAGAGTTGATGTTGACATTGACATTTCAGAGCATGAAGTATCCACCAACCTCTAGATATCAATCCAGTGACGCTTTGACTGTGTGATGTGAGACTATGGTGAGCACTGATCCTGGTGGATAATCATATAAAAGGGTTGATAAGTTGCAAGGTGCAAGGTGCAAGGTGCAGTGTGCCATCCTCATATGGCCGAGCAAACTCCGGGTTAGCAGATGGGGCGGGGCTGTGGACAGGAGGAGATCCACACCATTGTTGATGCAGATCTTGCAGTTGAGGAGGCCCAACAGTAGACGGTTCCCAAGCCTGGGTTCATGGCGAGTGTATGAGGGCTTGCAGACACATCTTGATGCATCTCCAGCACCTGGGTGGGTGCTGGTGGTGGGGGTGGTCTCAAGATTCATGCCGGATACCTGTATCGTGCTATGAGTTGTAAGGTCACCCTCACACTCACACAACTCTAGTTGATCATGTGTCCTCCTCCCCTCTACATCTCATCCTTGATTGCCTGACATGATTAGACATGTTGGATCATTGTTAAGCAGTCTGGCTGACCACACCAGCAATCGGATTTGCCTCAAGTCTGAACGTGGCATGATAAACCAGCGATCGGGTCACCCTTAATAGCCTTTACTAATCTGCACTCCTCTACCATGTCCTAAGCCAGGTCTCCTCCTGTTACCCATCAGAAGGAGGAGGGGGGAGAAAAGAAAAAGAAGAACGAGAAGAAGAAGAAGAAGAAGAAGCCATTAAGAACATCCAGAATCGACTTCTGCCAACCTGCAGCGCTGTGGGGGCGGGGGAGGGGGGAACATTTCAGTCGTAAAGAATTCATGTCATCCCACAGAAAATGCGGGCTGCTCTGGAAAAAGACATAGACTTAGCAGCTGAGTTATTTAATGGGAGAGAAAGAAGGTGCTGGATAAATATCAATTTTATACCTACCCTCCCCCCCTTTGCCCGCTCCTTATAAAACCTCCTGGTGCAGACAAAATGAAGACCGAAATGAAAATTCGCTCGAGGGGGGGCACGGATTGTGTGAGCAGGGCCAAGACACCGGAAACCAGCAGCGGATCTGCTCAGCACATTGTTTAACAGTTCCAATTGTTTTGGTGAGGCCATGGCGGTGTGCAGATGGAACAAGATAAACTTGGTGATTGATCATGGAAGGCCGAAGGTCCGGTCGACCGAGGATCTTGGGACGACGAGCATCCTTCAGGCTGGCTGACTTCGCCGTGTTGGTCAACCTGGAGATTCAGAATAAGGAAAAAACATGTCCTGACAATTCCCCATCTCATGGAGCTGAAATGACGATCGTCTCCACACTGTGCTCCCGCCCCTCCCTCACCCTCCCATCACCATCACCGAGTCAAGTGGCAATGACGGGTGGTGAACTGTTTGGTCAATTCCTTGACATGCGGTTACTATCGAGGCCCTTTTAATAGGCTTGCAGTATCTATCTATCGCTCTGTTCCTCGAGCAGGTGCAGTGAGCTCCGTCAGTTACCACCTTCTTCGTCGATCTCCCCGCAAGCAACCCGCCCTAAATAAGGAGCACTGTGAGCTGAATCGGGTAAACAAGAGTGGGTAGTAGCAGCTGCAGTGGTAGGAGTGGTAGTAGTAGTAGTACGATGCCACAAGCATGACACGGCACCTGGTTCAGCTGGTTCAGTTGCAGGCAAAAGGTTAGCTCGACGCTGCATGGACTGCTGCTGCCTCTGCTGCTGACTGAATTGGAGAATCTCCCCGCAGGCACTACTCCGTGCTTATCCCGCGCTCTTAGAAGGCGGATTTGCGCCTCGTCCAAACTGCTGGTCCGATTCGTTCAGGCAGTACGAGGACAAAACCCGGTAAAGCACCACGAGGTGAAACTCCAGCCCCGAGCATGCTCAGTGCGCGAGTCGTTGCATTGGCTTGGCAAGCGAGCGATGGAAGGGGAGGAGGGGTGGGGAGCTGCCGAGCTATGACTAGCACCATACTGACGAGTCTGTTAATCGCGATCGCGGTCCTCCTCCATGAAAAGTCAGCCTTTTGGGGGTTCCAACTTCCAAGACCCAAGGCTTTGACAGAATTACGAGTCTGTTGTCATGAGTCGCCGTGATGAGATGGATGGATGGATGGATGATGGGAAGAAAGAGCAGGGTCTTTTGGTGTGAAAGATCCTTTTGGTACTCTTGCTGGTGCTGCTGTGGTCAGGGCTGTCGCATTCACATAATCCAAAACTTCCATGGAAGCCTATCTAGTGATATAGATGTCACTTTTGACGACATCGACGGTGCCTGTAATCAAACAGCTGCGCTCCCACCCTTGTTTATCCATGCAAATCACCAGAAAGTCCTTCGTCAAATTATTACTGTTTGTGTGGTGAAACTTGAGTGGCATCAAGTATGCCCCACTCCCTGTCCTGACATGTTTCTGAGGCACGGTCTGTAAAGTTCATGCACTCAGAATCCGTACAGATTCGTCCTCTCCTCTTCTGGTAACTACCTATCGATGCTCAAAACTCACCAATTCGTGTTGTCTGATCTGAAGAATTTTGCGGTCACAATACGTTCGTGTGTCTTGCATTAACAACAAGATTCCAGAGAAGTGAGAGAAAAGGGTCATCTTCACGGTCGTTCAGCTTTCATGGTAATTACCTTCGTTTTAGTGGAAAAAACTTGAAAGTAAAAAGCACAACCTATCGAGGGAACTCGGAGTGCAGTGAACCATTATAATCATAACTATGACGGCAATGTCTTGCACATACCTGCCCTAGAGTCGATACAATGGACTATAACCTCGTTGAGGAAAAAAGTTCTGGGCATACTGGTACTCATATTCATATAGGACTTACAGATTGATGATCAATATATTACATGATGGAAGGAAGATTGTCAAATTTGACCCAAACGCTCTTCTAGAAAAAGCTTCAACTGTGGTCGGCTACTGAAATGCTCCGCATCCCTGGTTTTGTCGACGACGGTGGTTACGTACAGTGTTTACATAAGTTCTATAGAGAGGGATAACAGACGGTGGTAACCACAATTTTCGAATAAAAGAGTCCTCCAGCGACATGATAATATTGTACACTTCTAGTGGAAACTGATCACTTCGGGCGATTCATCCTTACATTGCGCCTCCGTGTCCTTCGTGCATCTCATTTGGTCCCAACAGTCTTCACAATCTTAGGGGTAGATGTGGCAGCTTTGTCAGCGACCAACTTATTGTAGGCTGGATTGTTGGGATCACTGAGAGAATTGATCACCACCTGATCGGCAACGACGTCCGCGTCATCATCGTTTCGATGCCATACCCACCTGGCAGTAGTTGCACTGTCTATGATAAGTCTACCATAACCGAAGCTGGCCTCCCTAAATAATGACCACATTGGCTGAGGTTTATTATATCTGCAAAACAAAGAGAACGAAACAACACAGGTCAGCTTTGTCAATCACTACATGATTTAACACAGTTGCAAGTACCTCTGAAGCTCAGAGGTGCTTGAGCTTTGCACGATGTTTGAGGCGGACGAACTCGACATAAAAAAATCCCACAGGCTACCTAAAGCATGTAAGGTTTCAGTGGCAGGCTTCATATAACTGCAACCCATCAGCACTTGTTTCGGGCCATAAACGATTTTAGGATTTTGATAACGAACACTGCCAGCTATCAGCATTTGAAGCGGGGCACGGTTGCAACACTTCTATGGAGTCCTAAAACTGAGGTAAATGAGCAAAGACATTTCGTTCGCTGAATCATTCAAGTCAAATTCCGAAAAGTGGGAAGAATCCATAAGTTGGAATCACTCTCTCGTAAGAAGCAGGTCCTATTCATGGAAAGCTTAAACATGGATCAATCCAGCTCAAGTGAGTGAAAGTCAAGCTCATATGATCGAAGACTCAACTAACATGTGTCAAAGCAGTGAGTGACAGAAACACATTTGCCTTCAGTAAGTACTTAAGGATCATTAGAACGCAAATGTTCGAACAAATGGGAGGAACAGACAAATCCTTCTCAAGGGGAGAAAAAAAGTTGAACAAAAAAGAAGGAGAAATGTTGACTCGAACTCCTCTATCTGTACAGCCTGTGTGCAATGAATCAATAAAGTCGTCCATAATACAATATTCAGTGCGACGCGAAGTTCAGGTAACTCACTTCGATGCCAGTCCTTCACGATTTCCACCATCTCCAATGTTGATGTGGATGATACCCTGAGGATGAGGCACTCCTTTGTAGACACGAGTCTGCAGGATAGAAATATTGAGTAGAATGTTGATAAGGTATCACCACAAGATATACAGAATCAAAACAACTTGGGTGGACCAAAAGCTTGCATCTCCGTTCGACTCATCTACACTCCAGATTTTAATTCATGGGAGGGTTACAAGGTTTACCAAACTCCTCATACTAAATACAATAAGCTTATTATTTTCAACTGATCGGTTCTCCTTTGCAGCGTTCGACACAGACTTCATTGATCACTAATACAAGATAATGCATGTCGACGATTATGATTATTATTATTATGATTATGATTATTATTATTATGATGGCATGTGCGTACATGTCTTTCTGAGAAGATCTACACTTCAACATCTACACCTTACACTTCAAGACCAAGCTGTGATGTCCATCCAACTAAACAGGCTACCATCAGCCCAGTAAGATTCGCGATCGAAGGAAGCATAAAAGAAATATAAGAATAGAGGGCGTACCGAGCGCTCGTATGCGTGGACATGTCCTGCGAAGATAATATCTACTTTATTTTCAAACAGCAAAGTTTCCATAGCAGCCTTCATATCATCTCCATCTCCTCTATGAGCAGTATTGCTGTTATACCAGGGTGCATGTAGCACGGTAATAAGCCAAGGTGTCTTCTTCCGGTCAACTTTTGCCAAGTCATTCTGCGTTAGACAAAGCATGCGCATGTGAAGCCCGAAATTAATATCCGTTTGGGTAACACGTATAATGTGTCGTCAGCCATGGAAACTCTCACACTGGCAAAATCTACCACAAACATGCTAACTTATTGATATGTTGGGCCCATAAACTCGCACGTGCATGCAACTCCAATTCCTGTCAAGAACATACTACCTACTTACGATGTTCCGTCGTTACCAACTTCCTAAACCCTTGTCCACACAAAACCATACTCAATTTTCCGTAACGAGTATAATCCTACAAAAAGTTCTTCAAAGTTGGTGCTTAAGAGTAACAAACCTGTAGCCATTTGTACTGAGGTGATTTAGCATCGAAATCACAATATGAACCCAACATAAGAATATGGCAGCCGGCGACTTCGAAAGAATAGTATAGATTTGAAGTTGATCCACTCTCCTTGTAGGGCATCGACCAGCGGGCATTATATGCTCTGAAAGACTCAACGAAGAAGGGAACGACCTCGATTTCGTGGTTTCCCTGCGTGACCATCCATGGTCTTTCTCGTGCAAGTGGACTAATTAGCTCTCCGAATGAATCCCACAGCGGCTGATAGTAGTCAGCGTACGCCAGATCACCGGAGTATAAGCACATATCATAGTCATCACTCCTTATATGTTCCAACGTAGACGTTGTCCAACCTGTTTGGCCCAAGTCACCTGTCACAACAGAGTTGGTCCAGCTTTAAATACTGAGTTTGCACTAGAAGAGTTCAAAGACGCTGAGTCGTTTCCTAACGATATAGACAAAGATGAATAAACACTGTACTCCGACTTCTTATTCTGTATCTAAAGAATGCCGTCCAGGTGGGAAATTTTATTAATATAAGCACCCTCGAAGAATAGACAGTAAAAACCAGCCAATACTCCTCCTCCTAACACAAACTACGTAGACAAAGATAACGTAAAAGAGCAGTTATTCAGTAGTGCGTACAACTGGTTGTGCCTGGATGGAGGGAATGGGAACGCACCAGTGACTACGAAGGTTATTGGGACATTGGGTCCTGCGGGAGGTGGCGTCTTGAAACTGTATTCAGTCGTCGATCCTCCACACCGGTAGTAGTAGACAGTGTCATCCTTCAGCGGCCCAATGACGACATCGTGGATTTCCCCGGACTTATATAGGATGTAAGTATATGAGGAGCTTGTTCCGCTGGCGTTGGCACCGTACGCTCCAGAAGTTGTTCCATACTCAACTGTGCTCGGGTTGCCTGATTCTTTAGTTATCCACGTTATGTGCATGTGATTTGGGCCATTCATCGATATGTGCACCTGAAACCAAAAACCAGCAAGTTAAAATTTCGCATCAAGGTTCAAGAATTCAAAGAGATATGCATTTCTTGCTTCTGAACCTCCAGCATCCAATCAAAGTGACAAAACATAATTGTTAACTTCTTCATATCTCGCCAGAATCATCTCCTGTGTCGGAAAATACGTGATAGAGAGTCCCGTGGAAGTTCATATTGCATCAGTTGACTACCTTTCAGAACATATGCATATCCATTTACAAACTGTCTTAGATGTTCTCGATCGATAAAGACATTGACTAATATCAACCTCCAAGGCAGTTTGTCGAAGACTGTAGTTTCATTCTAAGCATCTGCGGAATTCTACAATGAAAATAAGCTAAGCGATTGGCTCGGTGTTCGTTGAGAATTCTACGGAAGGACAAGAGAATGGTAGTCCAGAATGCAAGGTTTCGTCCAGACCACCACTGCCAAGCTACTACCGGTCACTCTTTCTACTAGTTTGGATATAGAAAACTACAGAGAACCAGAAAAATGTTCTTAGTTCTTCCGGAGTCCTCACGTAAACCCAGTCCGAACATGACAAGTCGTTGTAAGGACTTTGGGAAAAATCTTAACACTACCTTCGCGGTCAAGGTGCAGCACGCCACTACAACACACGTTTGTTCTAAGGATGAACATCGTAAACATACAGCTGTGTACCACAAACATAGCTCCAACGTGGGAGAACTACACTTCTCAAGTATGAAAAACGACTTCACTCTTTCAGTGAGACTGCATTCGATCCCGAAATCGTAGATCGATGCATGATCGATGAAACTTCATCCTAGATTTTCTAAACAAGTTTCAAATGCACAAGGAGAAGAAGAGGAAGATGAAAAACATCTGAAGAGATAAAAAGTGCGGAGCACATTTTCAGGTAAAATGAGTGTTTTGGATTCAGCAGTCTTAAACTCAACAAAAATCCTGAAACTCACACCTATAAAAGCTCAAACCCACAACTCTCCCCTTAAAATAAGCCAAAGCAAGAGGTGCAGGATAGACAAGCACAAATTCAGCATCACCTGAGTAGGCTCCATCAGTCCTCTCCCCAGAAGGGGGTCATCAGCCTCAAGTGAAGATGTACACAAGTGCAGCAGACATTCAAGAGCCCCATACAGAGTCATCGAATATAATTTCGAAACCACCCCTCTCGCTTCTACCCACTGGCTGTCCTCAACTAACCTACAAGCCCCAAGAACAGAGAGGGAGACCAGACAATTCCGAAGCGGAGCAGGAGAAGGATCTGGAATTCTTCATGGCCTCCGGCCATCCACCCCAATGCAGGGGGGTCCCCAGGGCTGTCAGAGAGCCTTCAGACTCGTCAAAGTGTCACCTAAGTTTTTTTTTCACCTTCTAAAACTTCTTCACCTCCTCCTTCTCTTCTGTGATCGTTTCAAACCTACCGAGACTGATCTTTCTACAAAAAGAACCAGCGCTAGCTACGAGGTCTGTCCACATACCAACAGCAGTACCACCTAGAGAAGGGAGAATCCAATCACCTGAGAGGGCTCATTTCCTGATTTTTCAGCCCTGAAGGCTTTGATCAACTGTCTCCCTACATTGGGCCGCGGGGGTGCTCTCACAAAGTCGGAGGTCACTTGGACTTCATCGACAGCGTTCACTGGAGTTTGCATAGTGACCAGCACACTGATGATCAGCAAGGCAGTGGTCGCAGTCCGACAAGAACAGCCAGCAATCCCAGAAGATGCCACAAGCCATCTCCATTGCCCCCTCACCGGCTTTTTATCATAAGACTGATCTAGTCCGGGCAACCCCATGCTTGCACCACCTCCTGCTGCAATTTCCCGTCCTATGCTCCCTCTCTCTCGCTCCTCCCGCCCTCGGCAATCCGATCCAACACCCTAACGCCCGAAACTTTCTTTGTCTGTCAGTGCGATACACTTTTACAATTCCTCGGCACGCAACTTTCCCGACCGCCTCCACTCTGGATCGCCACTGTTCATCGCATTCCGCCTGCTGCTCGAGAGCGTGAGCCACCGCCCTTCCCCCCGTCTCTCGCCTCTCTCGTGCTTTGCAAGCAATTTGTGCCCCGCATATCCACCCGATCCGCCCTTGAATATGCGCTCCCCTCTCGCGTTCCTCCCCTTCGCACGTCAACGCTCACTGCTCCCTTTCTCCGAGAAGCTCTCCCCCGCGTTCCTCCGTTCGCTTCCCCTTCCTTTCCTAAGCCCGGTCCCCCCTGTAGCCCAGCCCCCTTTCTCTCCAGCCCCAGCCCCATCCCCATCCCCCTTCGTTCCGTAGGCACCCAGCTACGGAACGAAGGGGGATGGGGATGGGGCTCGAGAAAAACACAGAAGAACCCCGCCGAGCAAGCACCCTTGACGAACGACACCAGTCGGCTGGAAACCCCTGCCCCCGTCCATGGGGCTGCGCTTGGTTAGCACCAGTTTTCTCTCCAGCCCCAGCCCCAACCCCATCCCCCTTCGTTCCGTAAGCACCTCCCCACGGAAGAACCCCGCCGAGCAAGCACCTTGGACGAACGACAGCAGTCAGCTGGAAATGTCCTGCCCCCCTGGCCCATCTGCCCCCGTCCATGGGGCTGCGCTTGGCTAGCGCCAGTCCAGGGGGGTAGTGGAATAGCGCTCTGAAGACTGGACTCTGGAATCTGGACTTTTGGCGGACATCGCTATCGTAGGCCCACTCGCCGCTCTTTAATTTCTCTCGCTTTCTCTCTTTGCGGTTCGATCCTCCGTTCGGACAAAGCTGCAGACTTCGAAGGTCCAAGTTCGGACACGATGTATCTTTCTGTGAGAGTGGGCCACGGACACGGATAGAGAGCGGAGGGACGGAAAGGACACATCCTTTTATCGGATTTCAGAAAGCTGCGCAGGCATATTCACTTGGCTCCGAGTGCATTTTAATTACTCGGAGCTGAACACCCCAACCCCCCTGATTCTTTCCATTTTGACTGCCCTTGTCCAGTGCTTATATTATCACCAGAATCAGTCCGATTCCTCGGGCAGTTGATTTTGATGTGCAGTATGCTGCCATTTTCTTCATCTCAATGAAATATGAAGATTGTTCTGGCGGGCGGGAGATTCGGACTGAGACGAAGACTCAAACTTGGGCACCAACAATTCCTGCTGAGCTCCATTCCACAAGCTTCCACTTCCAGCAGCTCGGTCGTTCCAGTGGTCGAGGCTTTAATGTTGGTTAGTATCTACTAGTGGCTAGCATATGAACCGATACCCTCGAATTAATGCGTACGATCATGAAGACTCAATCGACGCCCATCAATTAGCAGAGTGGAATTATTGAATTGAAATTATTTGAAATAATTGATTCCAGATCAATAAATGTTCAGATTTCGACCACTTCCTGCTGGCTCTCCTTGGCCATTAAACGTTGCTCGCACGGAAAGTGTTACCACCTTGGGCTCAGTAATTTGTTGCAGTCCGCTGAAAGTGGATGAAATGTGGTGAAAAGCTTGTAGATGCGTGAACTCCAGCAGTCTCATGGCGCATGCAAAGACAGCCATCGCTCTCCAAGGACCAAATTTAGCTCCCGTTGGAGGAACATGGCACAAGAAGTGTGAAACGGCCTGCAGCAAGGCTCGCCGTTTTTGGCAGTGCTGCCTGCGGAGTCGACATCTGTGAGACATGGTGTGGTCTTTATTTCGGGAACCCGACGAAGCGGGTCGCGTAGAAATTCGACAGTTGGTTGCAACCGCCTGGCCGAAAAAGCAAGCCCTGTCATATTTCCAGCCGATTAAAACAGAAAGTGGATGGAACATGCGAGTAGAAACACGTCCATTTCGTTTTCTCTCCAGTTCACGTGAAGTGAAATCGTTTGGACGGTGGCAGCTCCAGCTCCAGCTCTCTTCTCTTGCATTTGGCCCGCCAGAAGCGACCCTGATTTGGTGCAGTGCTAGCCATTTGGTTTTCAGGTCCTTACGAAGGTGATGGATGATGTTGAGTGTCTGGAGCTGCTGAAGGGGAACTGCCTTATTTGAGTGACGTAGCATGCAGGCATGAAATTTTGGAGGCAATGGAATGAGAGTGAAGAAGAAGAAGAAGAAGCACCATTCTCGAAGACTATTGGAGGCTGAAATGTTACATGCACAATCAATCCGTAAATCATGTCATGGGCTCGTTAATGTAATGTAATGACGTGTTAGTCACGTGTGTTAATCTGAGCAGCATGAGATCTGCAGTGCTGGATTGACGGGGAATCACCAAAAGCGAGTGCAGGATCTACTGAGAGCCTCTGACTCCAGGCAGAGGTAGAAGAAGGACCTCAAGCTTCAGCTCACTCCATCCATGCTCGACGTGACTCCACTCCACTCCAATCCAAGGAGAAAAGGAAAGGAATGAACAGAATCAGACAAACGGTGAATCTGAGCTCGTGAGACGAGTAATGAAAGAATGAGTCATGGTCTTCGTGAACGAATGAATGCAGTTGTCGCGCTCGAGGAACAAAGATACTTTGACGAGACGCTACTGGCTTTGAAGCAAGCGCTGCTGCTGCTGCTGCTGCTGCTATGCTTCTGTACACGATTTCTGCAATAGTGAACTTTATCCTCCTATGAGCAGGAGCTCGAAAAGGAGCATATCGTCGTGCACATCTTCCAACGAAGCCTTGCTCGGCCTACACTCCACCACTGCACGAACATTCATACTCTCGAGAGGATGGATATGTGCAGCATATGCCAGCCATATCCACTTCGTGTCTGCCCCTGTAACGTGAACTCACATTCCATGAAGTGAGCTGACGCTCTACGTTGAGGATCAGGGACGGGGCATCTCGCTCGATCCTCAGTACAGTACATCATTTGAGACCGTCTCCATTGACTTCTCAAGGCTCAATTTTTGCCCAGTCTGGATTTTCATGAAAGATTTTGGACCAAGCCATAGCTCTTTACAGAAGGCACTGCACTCCTTTGCAAGAAGCTCTTCCAGCACCATTTCAATGGGTTCCTCGTACTCCTGCTCGCTTTATAATTAAAGAGCTGTTCCTGGGCTCATTTGTGAAGATCGACACTGGATCCATAGAATGTCCCATCATTTTCGTGTTATCCATAGTAGACTGTTTCTGCCAATTTGAGTTGCCACCAATGCATGTCGTGCATTTAGATAGAACAAACAAATAGATTGTTCCATTGTGTACCAAAAGCACACTTGCAGCACCCCATGCATGTCAAGCCAGTGTGATTATTTTTCTGTTGCACACATGAATATACTTCAAATAAATAACATCACCATATGTCTACAACGATCTATGTATTGTCATAGATCAGAAAATTGTACATAATTTGCCTGCTCTCAAAGGTGCAGACTCCTCGTGATGGTAGCATATAAGAGAGATTCCACTCCACCCAAATAAATTCCAAAAAAAAGTTTCAATTCTAGCTGGTATATGAGATAACACTTTTCATGAACACAAATATCACATTCATTTTGTACATCATTTTGTACATCATTTTCACATCCTACATTTGAATTAATCAATAGTCAACACAAGTATATCACATTAGTCCGTGATTATTATTATTATTATATATGATAAAAATAATAATAACTCGACACCCCTAGGTAGATAAGGCGCATCTCGATGGAATCTTCGCCCTTTGGATTCACAAGTCAAGACGATTGAAAAGTACTCGTGAATTTGTATATTCAACATTTTCATACTTTTGTGAGTTTTCTCGGTGTAGATGTAGGTGTGATAAACTGTATAGACCTACAATAAAATCGTTAATCAGGTGTAAACTCAAGCTACGGTATGAGAGAATTTAGTATGAAAGACGAATATAATTGTTGCTGACCCAGATCGATCAACCTGGCATCCAAACTCTTTGCAAGCCAGTTCATCGATGGACATGAAGAAAAGAGCACTGCAAGTGGCTATCGCAATAATTCAAAAGAGAGAAGAAATGTGTTCACGATGCAACAAAATATTTTCCGTATAATCGCAGTATAAATATAACCGATCGATTTATGGATCCAAGCCCTGAGACGTGGCGATCGACTTCGTGAAAACTACGTCACGTTATTGTACAGTCCGGTGCAAGTCACTGACGTGGTCGTACTTGAGCTGCGTACTGTAGAGATATTCGTGGTAGGAGGGTGGTGGCATCGCAGTGGACTTTCGCTGCAGACGGCACGTGCTTCTAACCACGGTTGATGATCTCGTCACCCAGAAAGACACCGTAGTCAGATACCACCATGGGAACGCCTTTGACGCAGTGAGAGTTGAACCAGATATCCCTCATGCAGATTGTGGATATTCCAGCCGACAATTTATAGTATTGCTTCTTTTGATATAACGTGACCACCGATTGCTTGCTAACACCGCTTCCACATTGTGCACTTATGCATGCGATGTTAGATTTATAGACATGCATCTTTGTCCGCGAATCTCTCGTATGATTTGCTCTGTTTTGTATACTATCCGGATACTACTTTTGACGTCCAATTTGCAATTTGATTGACTTCCTTCCTTTTTATATGTTCTATAATCTCATGTGATAACATTTAAAATAATATTAAATTACTCTAGTGGATCTGAAAAGGTATTAGAAAGTTAAATTTGAAATCTTTGTGCAAAGTGAACTTCGATGATGCTAAATTAATACTTATGTATTTTCAAAGCAATGTCCCAATAAAAATTGTATAAAAACACTTGCAACATAATATTCAAATACCAAATCTACCGTAGTTCATAAAAACTGTTATAAAACTTGTTGTTTTTAAAGTTTGCATGACTTGTATTGTATGTTACATCAAATAATGATAAAAGTGAACAACTTGTTCAAGTTTCAATAAGCTTGAAGCATTCCATTACTTTCATTCTCAAGAAGTTTCTCATATTACTTCTGAACAGGTAGTTTTCAGATCTAGTAAAGCTACAATATTGTTTAAGTTTATCATGATGTTATGGAGAGATTTGTTTGATGTGAACCCATCCAAAGGTAAATTGTTTGATGGTAGCCATCAAATTTCAATTTACCCGATGATACCCCACGGACGGTGTACCGTCGTTGAGTTCTAGTAGGTGTTCTAGTAAGGATATGATCTTGTAAGAATATGTAGCAAATGAAATCTACGCGGGTTCCCAGATCATGACAGCCTGATGACCGAGTTCCATACTCACATCCCCAATAATATACGGAGTCCATCAACTTGTCTGCTATTTCAAAGCTCCTTCAAGCGGTCTGAACATCTCAGCCCAAACGTCGACGCAAATGCAATCTTTCATCGTTTTGTTTCACACATGATTCACAACCTTCGTCTCTCTCCCTTCAGACTAGCATTAGACACTGCACAGACGTCGACCGAAAGGCAAAACTTGGATATTCTCTTTGGATGCTTTCAGAATTCTTGGACGTCGAGACCTCTGGCGAGCAGCGTGTATTTATGTGTATGTATCACGTGGTCGACCGAAGAGTTTGTAGTTGGTCTAGACCAAGAAAGTCCAGTGCGATTCATGGGCTCGAGGGATGCATGGCTTGAGAGAGCGAGAGTGTGCTGCTGCAGATCAAGTTTCGAGTTTCTTAGTCACTCGAAAAGAGCGTCGAGATTCGGGAGCACATGTATCAAGCAAGAGCACGGGAGCTGCACCCTCAAAAATGGTGCAGCAGCCGTAAATATGCACAAGCTCTACTGTGCGGCTGGTGGCTGGCTGCGAAGATGGTAGAACCCAAAAAAGTGGTTCAGCAGGGCTAGACTCTACTCAGTGATGCGAAGGGCGAAACGGAGTATCACATGACATTTTTTCATCTTCGTCATCTTACCGTCCCATTCTTCCCAAAAAAGTGATTCAAGAGTGCCAGATTCTACGCAGCGATGCCAAGGGCGAAACGGAGTATCACGTGCCGAAGGTAACAGGAAGTGTGATTCACGCATCGTCGTCTGTTCATACTAAAACAGTGTGACGTGGACCGTCGGTGGGGTCCCATCGGTTAATTTGAAACTTGATGGGTCCCATCAAGCAATTTTCCTTTTGGATGGGGTAACATCAAACAATTATCTATAATGTTATGATGGTTGATTATACATATCTTTTCAAAAAAATCATCATTCCATCTTATGAATGTACAAATTGTGAACATATATGAGTATATATAAATGTATCATATCTCTATTGCAATAACTTTAAAATTATATGATTCTATGGCCATTCCCTTTTCTCATACTTATAATAATTTTTGAATATATCTATGTGCTTGATTAGATATATTATTTAGATTAAATTTTAGCAAATATTGAAAGTTTGTTGTTAAAAAATTACTAATTTTTAGATTTCCTTGAAAATGTAAATACGAATAGTATAATTTCATTGTTTTCTCATGAATGTTAAATTTGAAACAACATAACAGAGTTTTCTTGTTTGATTAATTATTTTCAAAAAATCATTTCTTCAAATTTTCAATTTGTAAAATTATGAAAAATTATAATTATTGTAATTATATTATTCAGATATAAAATAATTTTATTTTTATCCGAAATTAATGATAAAAAACAGAGCAATATTAAACATTTGTAACTCAATTCAATTATTGCAGAATAGTTTAATTCTAGAAATGCAGTCAAGATGAATTTTATTCATGTTACATTAGCTGCTGGATATATTACATTCTATGAACAGCATTATCTACAAAATTGTAATTAATATTTTTGATCAAATCATAATTCAGAATCTGATGCATATACATGTACGACCTGTAAAATAAGCTCAATATACATGATTTAAACTTAAAGGAAAAAATAATTATAATAATACATATAAATTTAACAATCTTGTATCAAAGTAAATACGAAATAATAAAAATACATGAAAAGTTCTCTTACAAGACAAAATTTCTGTCTTTGTGAGGTTTTTTTCCCTATATATCATATGAGAATTTATCAAATAAACAACTTGTACCAGGAAATGAAAAATATGCACATAATATAAAAACAGTTTGAATTATGTAATGAAAACTTAAAATTTACTTATACGTCCATATTCAGTGGTATTTAAGTAGTGCTGAAGTTACACAAAGCCTCTGAACGTTTCTAAAAGCCCAACCCTTCCAACCTTCAAAATGTAGGGTATATTGCACAGATCCGGAACGGGAATTTTAATCCATACACTGAAAGGAGGCCCTCACCCTGCAGGGAAGTTTGGCAAGTACAGTTGACGGAGTTGAGTACAGAAATTGAAGTTTCATATCCTTGCTCTTCTTCTCAATTTTTTTTAATCAAAGGATTTTCCACATTCACTTGCATTGATCACGTGACTACTCGTTCTGTGAAAGATAGTTCATAAAATAGGACATCTGTTCACAAATCCAATTGAGTCAGAGAAAGTCACATTCTTTCCAGAGTGCCAAAAGGCCAGAGTTTGGGCTCAAGGTGTAAACTCTAAGCAATAATTAGACATGTGACGGATATGTTGTACGGGATGCAAAAGGTCGCTGTCACTGCGATGGAGCAGATAGACCTCTGGGTCGCCAAAAGTCAACGATGACACAGCACGTGTCCAACGAGGATTCTGCGTGAGTGATCTGTTGTATCAACATCCGACGTACATTCTCACGCAACTAGTGTTCAAGTCGATTGCTGTCAGATCAGCCTGCCAGGGTTGCCATTTGCACATCACACGGCAGTGTCTCCGGAAAGGAACAAGGGATCCGAGAATTGAAATGGGAAGGAACCATGGAAGACCCAGCAAGTACTCCGTGGATGAAACCAAACTGGTGAGATGGGGACAGACCTCATCTCCCCAATAGCATGACAAATGGGAAAATATGTATTACTGCCACTTACATACCCCAAGTATCTGAGTCAAAGGATCTATATGTTAAAGTATACCATGACATTTAGTTATCTTCAAAAACACCAAGAATATCAATCAAACTTGATGAAGTAAGCACATGTCAGTTGCCTGAATGGCATTCTCGACTCATATTGCGTCGAGTCCAACGAGCTGCCATCTTCATAAAACCCTGGGGCAGATAAGTTGATCGGTGGCCACCACACTTGATATAAGCCTAGGATTAGTGTGCTGGCCCTTGAAACAGAGTACTACCCCCGAAGAGTTCTTCTAAGTCTATGTCACCAATTAACCAGTGATAACTGTGGACTCCCCGCACGTAACACGGAGAAGCAGAGAGCTGACATTGTACATGACTGCCCAACTAGTCAATCTCCAGACTCAATCGAGTTATCAAGTGAAAAAGTAAGCTAGAGTCTACCGCACAAACGTAGAATACGGTGTAAATTTGATTACATGATTTACATTTGATCGAAAAACATGAAAATCATGTAATAACATACAAATTTTCATCAGATTCTCATCGCTGCCAAATCCTCGTCAAAAGCAGAAGGATAATGAGAGAAAATTTACTATGTATTAATCCATACTGACAGCCCATGCACATATACCTAGTATGCCTCCTAGTATTACAACTAGAGGCTCGAACCACTTCAGTTGATCCACAGCAGTAAATGCGAGAATACCTAGACACAAGCTGGTCTTTGGGAAGGCAGTTTGCTCAAGAGCTCCAAACGTTAACGAGAACACACTGGTCACAATAAGACCAACACCAGCCGCATTGAAGCCAGGTAGCGCCCTTCTATAGATTGACCATCTCCGAAAATGACCCCAAAATGGCATGATTCCAAATATCAGCAAAATACCAGGTAGAAACAGACCAAACCATGCAAGAGCAGCACCAGAAATGAACACAAATCCTCCGTTTAAAGCCATGATCGTGCCGAGGTAAGTAGAGAAGTTGAACAAAGGACCAGGAAGTGCCTGCAAAAACAGAAACGGGGCAAAAGGTAAGACGGGCACGATAGACAAGTATTTCACCTGCCATCTAGACTCGTCTATCATTAGACTAATGGAGCTTGAGATTGATACAAAAGTATACATTTGAATTTAAGCGATGATCTGTTAGAGGAAATATACTTGGTCAGGGAAAGAATCACGTACTTGCACTATACCAAGGCCCGCATAAAACTGCTTGCTGGTTACCCAGGTGTTTGCTCTGTCAACACATACTCCGTTTGTATCACAAGTTCTTTGAACCACACCTTCATAGAGCATGGGTAACACCACCTGCATATTCGAGATCTATGTAAGAAAAATCACACTGATACTGACGTGGGCTGAAAAGGATTTAAAATCAAAGTAGTACCGACGAGTAGACAAAGCTGAGTGGTTCATGTGGCCAGTGTAGCAGAAGCCAGAGGTAATGTAAAAGATGATTTGAAAACATAGCACAATATGACACCACCTCAAAATCTTTATAACCGTGCCAAGAATTCTGTACCTGCCCACCGCCGAAGATGATGGAACCGATTCTGTAGAATACTTCCCACAAGCGCAGTAACTCGGGAGCATTATTCAGGACACTAACCAGCACAATCGAAACGACGAGAACAGTTATCCAGATTATCAACAAAAGACCACCGAAGGGCATGCTAACTCCGTGAGAGCGCACAGACTGATCTCGGACCTGTGATACAAATAAGGTTGCGAAGATATTAAGGTATGCGCATGAACATGACAGGAATATATGTGACGATACCGACGGTGATAATCTCGATCAAAATATGGGTGGCAGACATTCGACTTCTGTATACATGGTATCTAGGATTTTGACAGTAAACGTGAAGAAAAGTATTCATATTTATACATGACCCTGACCACTCACCTTTATATCTGGCAAGGGTTGCTTCTTCCAGACGTCCCACAAAAGCGTTACTAAACCTCCGGCAATTATGAGACAAGGAAATGTGTAGGCTTTGGGCCAATAGTATGCCACAATGGTAGCTATTGTACATAAAGAGGCTAGAAGAGGGCCTCTGCAAAGCTTGGAAGCCATGGACTTTGCAGCAGAGGCCACTAATGCAACACCCACAGCTGATACACCTGCATCACACTGACTTGAAAAATCAGTGACAACAAGAAAGGCTAACTGCACTCATCACGTTGAGATCCAGGGAAGCCGAATGTACAATAGAGAACGAGCTTCACTTCCACGAGTAGTGGCTTGACGTAGACAAATCTTAAACAGAACCCTTCAGTCCAACCAAATCAACGTCTGGTGCTCACAGCTTACCGGCAACCATGCCATCCAAAGCAGCTCGGGGGTTCTCTAACTGCTTAGCCGCAAAGACTCCGATACAACACATGATTATAGCACCAGGATACTGGAATAGAACTCCAGATAGCAGTCCACCTGCGTTACGTGGACAATGGACAACAACATAGTCCAGAGATGAATAACTGCAGTCATGAATTAGCAAGCGTGGCTTCAACAGAAGTATATCATAACATCACTCTGAGAACTTCAAGATATTTATCTGAAGTATGCACGCAGTAAGGTCTATTCACATTTTCCAACATCTCTACCGGTCTTGAGCATTGGATATATACCTTTAACTCCCTTCTTTATAGTGCCGATTGCAAATGACACTTGAGTGGATGTTGGTCCAGGCATGCACTGACCCAGAGCAAATAGTTCTGCATATATGTCCAAACTCATCCAGTGCAGTTTCTCAACAAGGCGCTGTATCGAGAGCAACAATCCAAGCAATCAGAGATGCTAATGGTCGGAAGAAAATTGTATGGAACAAAGACATGAAACTTGTAGTAGAGCTTTGAGAAAAAGCATGATACGAATTCGAAATAGAACCAAGCCAAACTATTCCTAGGATGGTAATCGTTACGTGTAAAGACTATAGGCCAAGCTGATTTTCCCACCTTTTCAAACAACGCGATATGAGCACTTGGACCACCAAAAGCTGTCCATCCTAAGAGAGAAAATTGTTTAGCTATATCCTTGTACCCAACATCTACAATTTCCTCGACAGGCTCTGCCTCCGGCGCATCCTTTTCCTCAGGCTGAGAGGGCACTGATACCGGTGCCTCAATATCCTGCCCGCTGCCATTGAAGCGCCTACTCAATCCCTCCTTGTCACCAACGCCAAGGTCTCCAGCTTCCATGCTCACCGAGGGCCTCCGCTCGTCACCCATAGTGAACAAGACTCAGTGGTGGAATGAGCACCGCAAGCCCCTGCTGAGCTCTACAATATATGATTCGTTGAGACGGCTCAACGACCCATATATTCGTTCCCAATGTAGTCCTTCCGAGTCATCTGCCCCCACTGACTTACGTCTCCTGTCTTCCCAGCATGTGTTCACTTCAAGGACTACGGACGCCAAAGATTGGCTGGAGTGCAGCTTAAAGCCTTCATGACATTTAGCTCCTACGATGAAGAAGATACACACACAAGTTAATGCTATAAATCAACGAGGTTAAATGATTCTGAGACAAGGACGTAATTCAAAAGAGCTCTCTCTTAACCCCGCAATTGCAATGGGCGAAATCTCAGAGGGTATCCAGTTCACTGATATCAACTCAATTACCCAAGCACCGATTCAAATAGATTCACATGACAGAGGCCATAAGATTCAATTGCAGGGCAGGTCCCAGCCAGCCCCAAATTCCTTCACCCATTAGTAGCTCTCTATAATCTGTCAAAAAGCTCCAAGTCCAACGAGCAAATGTCAACTGCAAGACGTAGGAAGGCGGCTAAAACTGTCGAATCTCCGTACAATTTGACGTGTGATCCATGTGGCTTAACTCCTGAATTGAGCTCGGGCTCCGAGACTGCAAATCGAATCAACAACTAGTGCCAACGACTCGTCATTATGCAGCAAGAAGTGCAAGAATGGACAGCAGACCGTGCCTCGCTGACTGAGCAGAAACTTCGACCCAACACCCCCGAGTTCAATTTCTTTCTTCAATTCTTGAGCTCGAGCCTTGACCATCTCGCAGACACTCAGAACATCCAATGTCTGCTTGCCCCACAACCGAGGCCAAGGTCCTCTGAAAGTAAGTACCTCATTCATGAGGCGGAAGACACTGCGGCAGAAAGTCAACCGCTCACGTAATCTCCAAGCTCGTGGATAATGTTTCTCCGGATGATTTCGGTACTCATCACGCTGCCATCTGAACCCAAGAGCTTACGACACAACCAGCTCCTGGAAGCAAAAGTTCACGCCACAGACCACTTCAATCATCGGCATCCACGACGACAGCAGGCCGAAACTCCCATCGATGGAAACCACACCAGAATAAACAACGGACCCGACCGCAAAGGGTGGTACTCACAATCATAAGTCCCGAGGGGAGCGACGAAAGCACAGGTTGACTCCGGACACAGGAAGGAGCTCCGCATCGCTCCGGCAGAGGCCGCACTAGAATGAAGGAGAAGATGCTGGGAATCAGGACAATTCCTGACAACTTTCTGCCGTAGACCGCAATGTCCTTGTCATTTTCCTCGGCCTTTGCCACTGGCGCCGCTTCTGCCTGCTGATGTCCCATCTCCTCAGATTCTCGCAACAGTGAGTGGACTCTACGTCAGTGAGTCCGCCGCGAGTGCTCCGAAGCTCTTGGCCCGAACTCTTGGAGCTGGAAGATGACCACGCGCGACTCGCCGAGGACGCCAAGATTTGCCGTTTTGCGCCCAGGCATCGCGCCCGGCGCTTATCCCTTTGCCCACGAGCTTTTCGCAGGCCTGTAGCGCTCGTTACAGTCCCGCGCGTATTCTTCACCGGGCCTCTTCGTCCGTCGCCTCGTGGGCACCTCGCTCCCTCGGGTTTGCACTGCAGCGCCGTCGTCGGAGCGACTGCAGCGGAGTAGCCGCCACGGTCGCCGTCGCTCACATTAATCCACTGCGGGGTAAATGTCATTACTGTATTCCCTTTATTTGTGTAAAAAGAAAGCAACTGGTGGGACATGGTGCTCTGGCGGATAACCTTGGCCCCATGTTGCATTTTGCACCTTGCCCTGCTGAGTCCAGGTATTTATATATGAGTCCATTTATGCAGCTGCGTTCAGCTTGGAGAGTGAAGATTCAGAGACATATTCTAAATGTGTACATTCTAGCGTTACACTGCTACCCAAGGTCTCTATCACTCTCTTTCCATGAAGCATATATTATTTCAGTTAACTGTATCTATATTATAACACATTATATCAGTTGGTGCAAAATGTTAGGTTCTGATTTTTTGGATGTTTTTGTGAAATAATGCCGTTTTTACCGTAGATAATTTTCAACAAGGGCAATTCAATTTTCAATTTCCATTTACAACATGGTCATGCGTCACAGATGATAAGTTTCACCATAACATCTATCAGAGCCTTTTGATGACTCGAAGCTAAGTAAACCTTATATTCTGTATGTCAACTTGACTTAGATTATTCCCGTTGTAATCAATTGTCCTAAACATCTTTCCAAAGTAAGAATGTAACAATTAAATAAAAAAAGTAATCTTCCAGTGGCCACTGACTGCGATCAGTTCTCTGGAAACAGAAGGACTTCCCAGGAGTCGGGAATGATGGGGAATATTTCGAAAGATTCCAACGGCCCTATTGAGACAACATCGTTGTTCGCCTTGTCTTTCATTGGCCTCTGTTTTGAAAAGCGAGTATATTCCCCCAGGCGACACTTTTCAAACACAGCAAGTTGCCGGTATGGGCCCCAGTGTTCTTGTCCTGTTATTTCATTCGTACTCACCAACATGTTCTACTAAAGAGTCTAGGTACAACGTACGCACGGACAGTACCTCGGCCGTCCATGCTGCGCGGCATTTTCAGGTGACGCCTTTTAATGTACGGTACAGCGAAATTGGTGCTACTAGCTTTCACAGGATGTACTGGAGAGTACATCCTCTTGCAATTAAAGGTTGCTTTATGAGTTGTATGACACCTTGCAAATTCACTCGGGTTTGAAACTCTATTTCATAACATCATTTTTCTGCCACTTCTCTTGGCTTAGCTCAGCAGGCTACATAGTAAATCTCATTTGTAGAAAAACGAAAACCAGGGGTTTCATAGTACTGGTTTGATTCTCATTTTCGATAAATTCAAGTATATTTTGTAGATACTTTGGAGTCCATTTGGTAGCATATTGTAGTTTCCTATCACCTTCAACTTTTGTAGACCTTCTCCAACTCAAACATGTTCATCATAGTTGACCATATTAATCTCGCTATCATTCAATATTTAAAATATTATATTTCATGTTTTTATAGAAGAAAAAAAGTGATGATTGTTTAAAAAATTAAATTTTCATACTTTTTTGTCTCCTAAAACAATTCTTGCACAATGATGTTCTTGTACTTGTATGTAAACTTAATGCTAAATTTCATGAATGTCATGAATTGAGAGTAAAGTATTGTCAAACCAATGTTTTTTGTTATGAATTGATTTCAACTTGTTAACTCTAGTCACAAAGTTATTACAAATACTATGTGACAAAAACTGGATATTGCACTAAAACATTGAAAATTTTATAAACATAATCTTTGTGAGATGAATTAACTTATTTTTATTTTGTTGAAAATGTTATTATTGTGAATATCAATCTGAAACTACGTCTTCTTATTGATTGATATAATTGTGTTCAATCTATTGAGTTTACATTCAGTTTGATGACTTTAAATAATTTGTAAATGATGATTTTGAAATATTGATTGTTTTTTCAAATATTAAATTAATTAATATTTGAAAAATATTTTTGACATTATCTCATAAATTATATTTTGGATTTTTGGTATTTTTCAAAAATAAAAAAGACAACATTTCTTAAAAAATATTATTCAAAATCTTCATTCAAAGATTTTTTTTTATCAAAATCTAATTTATAATTATAAAATATATCAAGCACTTTTATGCATAAATTAAAATTAAAATATATATTAATTTAATAAAACTTAATTGAAAAACTAACTTTAACATTATAGTTTTATGATATATATATATATATATATATATATATATATATATATATATATGTATATATTTCCATATATATATATATTTCTATAGCAAATGTCAAAATCGTAGTCTAATTTGCATAGATTCTCATCATTTAAAGTCTTTGACTGCAAATTACATTTGCAATAATTTTAGATTTAAATAATGTATAATAATCTTAGCTTTATATTGAATAACTTCAGGTTTGGATATGTTATAATAATCACAACTTTATATTGAAGGTATTACTTGATGATATCCCATCGTAACACAAATTGCTTATTCGGATCTATCGAATATCGTTTTACCCGACACTACACCACCAACGACACACCGTCACTATGTTTTTAAAACTGTTAGTCTAAATATTAGGCCGATGTCACATGACCTGCATCCGGCACTAAGCACATGGCTAGAAGATAAGTTGGTTATTGTAGGCTTCATTCCACCAACTGGAAATCAATTCAATAACCTCTATCACATGACCGGCAGTTGACTTCGGAGTGAAAAGCAATAGATATCACGCCTATCGAGAAAGATAGCAACATACTCTCACAACACAATCTCTTCCTCTTTCTACACAGAGTTTTCCAAAACCGATTGCAGATAAAACTCCATCCCATGAGTAAATGCACAAAGGATTATGCAAAGAGAAAAATCATTTGAACATCCGGGTGTGCAAAACGTTCAAAAAATGGTGCGGGTGGAATGAAACTTCCTTGCGGACATAATTCGGATCCCATAGCAATAGGGTTGAAAACGGATGCATGATTTGCATGCTCATCATTGTCATGAATCGGAGTTTCTTGTGAATCAAAGAAAAAATGTCTTTGTTGAATTGCAATGGAGTGGAAATGAATCACTAGAGGAGTAAAGTGGATAGGAGCAAAAATACACGTGGATTCGATCGACCCCTTATACACAAGATTTCCAGGCGGAAGTCTCTGATACTTCACAGCAACTAATTTTACTGCTAGCTCGGATATACTAAACTGTTGCTAACTCTTGTGTGATAAGTGAGGAGCTGGCCTGCCAATGACCAACGAGGGTTCACTGCCGCTGCTAATTGTGTAGCTTGGCCCTAAGATGCGGCTATAGTGTGAAAAAATGACCTTATGCAAATTCTAATCTCTGAGTATTCACAATGAGTGGCACAGTCTTCAATTCATTTGGTTGTGAGTTGGGATTCAGAGTATATTCCGGAGGAAATTATGTTCATAAGCTGGTGAATTCATGGACGTTGTCATAATTTATGCATGAGTCCTTGAATTTGCCGTGGGATTGGAAAAAATGCAAATTACAAAGACATGTCTTCATCTCTTTGGACAAGGTTTCACTTGGAATGACACGTGAAAGCAACGTTTCAACAGTGTGATAGTAATCGACCAGAACTTATCAGATTTCAAAATCTAGTGATGGATCATTTAATCATAGATTGAGCTTTATTTGACAGATGTATGTTGCCATGATTGACTTTGACTTTGTCATTATTTTTTGACCCATGTGATTGTAAATTACTTGATTACTTTCATAAAATCTTTTGTCATGATTACGTTGTTACTCAGAGATTGCAAGCACTCTGATAGCTAGATATAACACAAACGTTTGGAATCTATGGATATTTTTTTCAAGATTGCATATGCTATTATTGAAACGTATATTAAAATATATATTGTGTGTGACTCGGCCAATGTTTTTTAAAATATCTCGGTGTTGTTTTTACCAAGTATAACTATTATGAGTAGCACATTGAGTTTCACATTTGAAATCTAAATGTTTATAGTTTCATGTTATTATGTGCACTTGTAGATTCAATGAGTTCATTTTCAAGAAAACAATTTAGAACCAAGAAAAGAAATTGAAACATTCCACCATGTCTTTAATTCAAAATTTATTTTTGGTTCTTTTAGAATTAGTAAATTTTTTGATTTTCGTATTATATTACTAGATTTTATTGAAAACTTAAAACAATGTTCAAGTCGAGTTACGTGTCACTATTTATGAGTAACTGAAACTCTAAACTTAAGATTGATTTGTATTAAGTTAAATAGAATTAAACTTTGACTTAAGTTTATACTTACAAGATATGTCACATAATTTACACAAATAATGATTTTTTGTGTTTAAATATTTAAATATTATATAAATTTTGTGTTATTACACAAGATAATAATATAATATCTATGTAAAATACGGCATAATTTCACAAAAACATCCGAAAATTCAGTCGATAGAATAAACATGTGAATGATTGTTGTATTCTTCAGTAACTCACAACTAAGTTCATGCACATGATTGAGTTTTAAAACAAAATTTGGCAAATTCAAGTTCTTGAATGTGTGTTCATCTCTTACATAAGAGTCAAATTTGAATGTTCACAAAGTGAGTCAATCCATCATTGTTAATGAACTTTATGGAGACTATAGAAAAAACATATCAAATAAGTCTTCATAAATTTTATTAAAATTTTTCACAAAGACAAGTGAATGTGAAGAATTCTCCAATTCAAGAATTCAAGAATTCGCAATTCTCCAACTTGGCGGATTTCTTTCAAGCTTTGCAAATTGGCAGAAAAAACATGTGAATGATTATTGTATTCTTCTATAACTCACAATTGAGTTCAGACACATGGCTGAATAAAAGAAAATTTGATGAAATCTAGTTTTTGAATGCATCACACCAAGTATTACACATGAGTATTATTCAAAATGATGGAGAGAAGAGTTTTGACAACAATAGTGAAAACAAGGTCTAGTGTGACTAAGTAG